CCCCCCCCCCCCCCCCCCGTCCTCAACCGCCCGTCCGCAACCACCTAACGACTATCTCTACTACAATCAGGCGGAGAAGAACGCTCCGGCCATCATTTTCATCGACGAGATCGACTCGATCGCACCCAAGCGCGACAAGACGAACGGCGAGGTGGAGCGGCGTATCGTGTCCCAGATGTTGACCCTCATGGACGGCCTCAAGGCCCGCGCATCGGTGAGAGCCACAAAAGAGACCAAGAAAAAGGAACTCAACAAGTGGTTTGTGTGTAGAATAGGTGGCTACGTTGGTGTGTGTTGCATGAGTGGGATGTGTTTATCACAGGGTGAGTACGGTTGTGTGTTGCATGTGTCGAAGGACCGCGTGTACCTGTCTCCGAGAGGAAGAAAGCGACATGATTGCTTGTGATCCGCGTTTGCGTCTTACGCAAGAACCCACTCATGGCTTTCGTAAAGTCCCGCGGCCGGCATGGCTCAACGTCCATCTTGTATCGTCCCCTATGCTGACTACTTTTTTTTTATTTCTTCATCACTTGCCTGTATGATGTTCTTAATTAGGTGGTTGTAATCGGGGCGACGAACCGGCCTAACTCTATGGACCCGGCCCTCCGTCGGTTCGGACGCTTCGACCGCGAGATCGACATCGGTGTGCCAGACGAGAACGGTGAGTTACTTGGTTGGTGATTTCTGGCCGGGGGGAGGGGTTGTGTGCGTCGGCATGTGTCGTGAGTCGTGGGCACGTATTGCAGGTCCTTGCCATGCTAGCCATTGCGTTTGCTGCTATCCCTCAACGTTGAGCATGAGGAGCATCCTTGAGATCCCAGTCACGGGCACCAAATTCGCGGAGCAACGACAAAAGAACATCCTCCGCGCAACATGATGCACGTGCCTGCGTGTTTGTGTGCTCTCCCGTTTTGGTTCAGGGGAGAAGTTGCTTTCGGAATGGGAGATCCGCCGTCTTGCAGTAGTTGGCGCTGATTCCCCCTCTCCTTTCTTGGACTGCTGTAGCTGGTATTCCGCCCCTCTTCTTTTTTTTTTGGTGGGCGCTGATTGTTTTCCTCCTCCTCTGTTTTTCCTTTCAAACTTGGCCGGCGGCAGGTCGGTTGGAGATCTTCCGTATCCACACGCGGAACATGAAGCTCGATGACGATGTGGACCCTGAGGCGATCGCCCGGGAGACGCACGGGTTCGTGGGAGCTGACATCGCCGCCCTGTGCACGGAGGCTGCCATGCAGTGCATCCGTGAGAAGATGGACCTCATCGACATCGAGGTGTGTGTGTCTTGTGTATGTCGAAGGGTGCGGTACGGCGGTGGGTGGTTTTGTTTCGCTTGGTTAGGGCGTTTCTCTCTGAAGTTGGCACGGCGATGTGTTTCGTTTGGCTGAGGCGCTCTTCGTCTTGCTGCGGAGGGTTTGTTTGTGCGTCTCGTTGTTATCTCGGCGGTTTCGGATAATAACCTCTCCTGTCGCTCGTCGTTGCTCTTGCAGAACTGAGTCAACGCTCGGATTTTTTTTTTCTCATTTCTGCTTTTTTGTCGAAGAATAAGCGGCAGTTTGCCTGTCTGGTGCCTTCTTCCGTCTCAACCACCGCACCCTCTCTTAACCCCCTTTTGCACCGGAATCTTTGTCCGCACTTTTTTCTCTTGTTGCAGGAAGAGACGATCGACGCCGAGGTTCTGGACGCGATGGCCGTGAGCATGGACCACTTCCGCTTCTCCCTCGGAGTGTCCAACCCGTCCTCGCTCAGGGAGACGGTGGTGGAGGTGCCGACGGTCACGTGGAACGACATAGGGGGTCTTGCGGTGAGGAACAAAGCAGTGGAAGTCGAGCTTGTCCCATGTGGTTGCAACCGGTGTTGATCGTTTTTGTGGAGCTGGCTACACAAAAGAGCAGTATTTGGATGTGGATAAATGTGTCCAGGTTGAAGTGAGGTGTGCCTTACATACCCAGGCCAGGCGTGTGCGGGTTCAATTGGCCGCACATGTGTGTGCGGTGATTTGACCGAACGAGTGGAGATTGGGATGTGCTTCTGGCTCGGGGGCACCGTTTGCTCGAAATTGTTTGGGCAGGAGCGGGTGTTTGGTGTGTGGAGGGACCTACTTCCTGGCGTGAATATTCGACACTTGATGGTCAACAAGCGTTTTTTTTTCCTGGGAATACACGGGGGCCACAACTCAACACTGAAAAATTTTCAGCGTGACGTTGCGCCCATTATCCTTTCTGGGAATTGACCGTAGGCACCTCGACCGAAAATCCTCACCATGACGTGCCGTTCACAAACTCTAGACTTCCTTGCTTCCTCAACTTGACTGGAAAACTACACTATCGAGAAACCCCCCACAGAAGTTTCGACAAGCAATTTTGCTGGCTGGCTGTCAACCCGCATTGCTTCCCTTTTAAAAACTCGCCTGATGCCTAACTATCGAATCCCCACGAAACAACCTACTGTACTCGCAGGGCGTCAAGCGCGAGCTTCAGGAGCTGGTGCAGTACCCGGTGGAGCACCCCGAGAAGTTCGAGAAGTTCGGCATGTCCCCCTCCAGAGGGGTTCTATTCTACGGCCCCCCCGGGTGCGGGAAGACTCTCATGGCGAAGGCCGTGGCCAACGAGTGCCAGGCCAACTTCATCTCTGTCAAGGGTGAGGGATGCGGCGAGATAGGATAGGTGCTTTCAGCGGGACTGTTGACGAGCGCGGGTTTCTCTTGGCGGGGCGTGCTGCTTGTGTCTCCCGTGATTGAGGATGGTTGTCAAAAGCGGTCGCGAGAAATGAGTGCTCGGATCGGCGCTGTGGTGGCCATTTAGAGGCGTTTTTTTTTATGTGCTGGCGGTGTTGTAGCCGGCGACGAGCGCGAGGGGGTCGTGTATCGCCTTTTTCACGGCGAGGGCTACATAGGGG